AACTTATAGAAGTGTGACCTGAAAACACTGCTGATAATATAGATTTCATTAAGATGTAAAATATTGCAAAGTAAAAAAAAATAGTTTGCTTTTTAGGTATAGCGACACGTAACAGGCGTATAACGGAGGAACTACAAAGGTATCAAAAGAATTGTCTTAGACAGAACGCATGGACGTAGAGTATGCAGCTTGCGCAACAGCAATGCGTTAAGGGTTGGTGGTTGCATAACTGGATTATATCAAGGGGCGTAAGCTTGATTCTCGGCGCAACGGCCTCTCTTTTATCTGACTGAAATATGAATGGGTGAAAACCAGAATGGTATAAGTAACATTTTATACATTATGAGTAATTTAATTACTTAAGCCAATATTACTATAAAGTCGTGGTGCTTTGTTTCATCATTAAAACCACGGCATTTCAAGTATTCATTAAAACCTCGAAAATACATTGCCACTGAAATACAACCTAAAATAAAAATTTGTCTCACAATTTATAAAATGTCATGTATACCGTCCGGTTTTTACCCATTCATATATATTTAATAATGAAAAAATATGATTCTGAGTACTGCAAATAAATTTAATAATAATGCGGGGGAACATCTTTCTATGCAACTTGCACTTCCTACTCCTACTAAATTCAAAATATACCTACAAATTCAAACTGCCCTTACTACCTATAATACTTATAACGAACGTACAATGTATATCTAGAAATAAATAATTGAAGACACGCAAGAACATCATTGTAAGACAAATGATGTCACCTAGTGGGGAATGTCCCACACTTGGGGGATCATTGCATCCATGCAACCAGGGATAACACATAACTTCATGACATATCGCCTTTGTCAATCCATTTCCTTCCGAGTTATCTCGATCTTATCACACTTTTCTTATCACATTTTTCATTTTTGTAGATTGCTCAACGTATGCACGTTTCCTGCAAAATTATATGCATTAATTAATTTAGTTGCTGAATGAGTAATCCTATTTGCTCTTCTAAACTAATAAATCATTTTTCTAGAGCTATATGTTAGGGTTATTTTGCGATTCTGGTTTCGTATGCGAAGGCGTAAAGATAATGGTATGTCAGAGATCGAGCACCCTACTAGAATGTTTTGTTTTTGTTTTAAGTAAATTTATATTCGCCTGAAAAGAGCTTAATGACTAAATTTACAAAATTAAGATCAATTCAATGATGCCTTATTTTACGTAGTTCTCAGACCAAAAGTCTTGCCCTTCCGTCTGAACACACATTAAATTAATAACACATTAAACGCTCCTTTCACCTTTTATAACCGAAAAAATTATTTCTCGGGCGACGAAAAAGGTGATTTACTCAAAAGCTTTATTTTCTAATCTATATCATGGAACCGCCGGCCCAAAGGAAGGCGTATGACGGATTTGTTTGCCCTGAAAACACCCAAGGCTTCGATCGATTTTAACTCACGAATCTTTGGTACAACAATCTCACACGCTAATTTTTACACCACCAAAACCGACAAACGCCATCGAAGCCACTTACAACACCGAAGCCGATACTGTTAAAAATCGATCACAATTAAATATTACTATTGTAGAGATCTGAAAATGTATAAATGGTATCACTAAATGGCAAAAGATCTTCAATTAACTTCCTGTTTATATCTCAGTACACACGACGAGCCCATACATCGTTCGAATATTCCAGATACGAGTCAATGCAATGAGTATAATCTATGGAAATGTAGTCCATTAGGGATACAGCACTAGCAATTCTGAAAGCATATCGTCACATCAGCATTAATGTAAAATGGCCCGACATATTACACCCATAGGCTGAATTTTGAGAGCTCTAATTCGAAAGGCGGCGATGACGTTGCCACTCGCAGTTTGCAGCTCGAGTTTTGGCCTAGGCAGAGATGGGAGAGAATGGTACGGACAATTACATTGCATTAAAATAAGTAATGGATAACATCATTTAGATTATTACTAGAAAATAATTATCAAAATAAAATCAATAAAAATGCATATAATTAAATTTTACTTGAAATGAGGATATTTCATAATTACATATTAAAAATGCTTCATTACATCATATCCCGAATTAAGTTTATTTGGCAATTCTGGAATATTACACTGCTGCTTAATCCAATAAATAAAAGCCCACATAGTAAACAATGCTTACTCTACAAATTTACATTTAACGAAAGAAATAACTTTTTAGTAACTGTGTCCCCTGCTCTGACGTAATGATACCAAATGATATTTGCAAACCATTTTGGAAAGTAATATCGATCGATATGTTGGAGTAACAACAAATTTTACATTTATTTAAAACGGGCATGCTGCAAATGAATCGAATGGCAATCCCGTTTAAGTAATATAATTTTCATAAATACTAGAATTCTTACAAAGGGCTTGCAATCCGCTTTTCGACCTCATTAAGAAAATAGTTGTATTTTCCTTCTGTCACCGCGTTTTTTATCAGCACTCTTTTCCACATTCCAACTTCTACGTCAATACTCCAGAAAAACGCGATTAATTAGAACGTGTAGATGAACTAGTATTCTAACTAACACATTGTGATAGTAATGCATACTATACACTCAACTATGTGAGTTAAGTTGAACCACCAAGAGTAGGCGTTTATGAATATTAGATAATTATGGGAATAATAATTTTAATGAACATGAGACTGCAAACATAGAAACATGTGGAAATACAACGTTTGTTCTCCACCCCACTAAACGTACCATGAGAAACTAATTACCGGAAAATTCTACGCCTTTTGCTCTGTGCCCTAGATCCGTAACTATACATCAAACGATACCAACCGTTGATAAATGGGTTCACTCTGATATATGTAAAATTACGTTGCGTTTATACCTTGCATAGTGAATAAGCTTCAAAGTACATGAATTAAAGAGCTTATTTCCAGAGTGACTACCATAATAAAACATATTTTTTGGAACGTTAAGAACTCGCATTGAATTTTGCAGTTCTAGAAAATGGTGCACGGTTAAAACACTCATAAATCTGCCACTTTCCCACGCGTGTTTTTCCATATTTTCGTTACCAGGGCCAGACAATAAGATTTTATATTTCGTAAACTCGTCCATTTTCCCCACACGATTTCAATACTATATCTTCACTACTTGCATAGTGTGACGAGAAAGTAAAAATTAATACTAATTTTAAGGCTGCAAAGATTGTGATGGCGACAACTGAGGAAAAACAATGTGTAAAATACGATTATATCATGTGAGAATCACACACAACACGTTGTACGAAAACTAACGTGAGCTTTTGTGACGCGGGCGAAGCAAATGAGATATCAAAATTGCGTCGATTGACGCACGACCAGGCAAGAATAGTTTTGCGAGCATGGGTGGCCCGAGTAAAAAGTGAGGGAGGGCTAGGCGGCACCCCACCTACTCCGCTCTCCCCGTTGCACTCATGCCTTTGCCCCCCGCCCACCCCTTGCTTCCGCGCTAAGCCAGCCGCTCGCTCATGTTCGCGATCGCTCCCTCAGCTGTTTTGGGTAATCCACGCTCGGGTCCACTGCTCCCGACACGCCCGTCGGCAGACACCCGCAGACCCTCGGAACGCGAGACACCGAGACACCCGCAGACACCGCGAGACACCCGCGAACCCGCAGAACACCCCAGAACACCGGAGCACCCGCAGACACCCGCGACACCGCAGCCCGCAGACACCCGCAGACACCCGCAAAGATCACCGAGACAACCGCAGACCCCGACACCGCAACAACCAGCGCAGACCCCCAAACCCCGCAGACACCGAGAACCCCAGAACCGACCAGAGAGACCCGAGACCCGCAGAACCCGCAGACACCGAAGACCCCGAGACACCCGCGACACGACAGCCCGCAGACACCCCGCAGACCACTCCGCATGAACCCGCGCAGACACGCCGAGACACCCGCGACACCCGCAGACACCGCAGACACCCGCACGACACACCCGCAGACACCGAGACACCCCGCAGACACCCGCAGACCCGCAGACCCCCGCAGACCACCAGACACCACCGCGCAACACCCGCAGACGCAGACCACCGCAGACAACCGAGAAACCCGCAGAAACCGCAGACACCCGCAGACCACGCAGAGCACCCGCAGATACACCGCAGACACCAGACACTCCGAGCCGAGACCCACCGCAGACACGCACACGCAGACCCGAGCCCGCAGACACCTCAGACACCGCAGACACCCGCAGACACCCGAGAACCCGCAGACAGGAACCCGCAGACACCGCAGACACCCGCAGTACCCGCGGCACGCAGCACCACGCAGACACCCGACAGAGACCCGCAGAACGCCGCAGATACCGCAGATACGCCGCAGATACCCGCAGATACCGCAGAATATCGCGAATGTCAATCCGCAGATACCAGTCACATCCCGGGGAGCCGCAGCTGTTTCTGTCGCGCGTTCACTACTCCCTCCGCTCCGACGTCCGTCGACCCAATGCATTCCAGGCCCTGGTGTTTTGGCCGTCCGCGGAAGCGCGGGTTGAGCAGCTGGAGGGCTTGCGAGCGGGGCGGGGGGCACGGGCGGTGGTCCAACGTAGACGGCGCGCGTTGTCGGCAGCTTGTTGTGGGGCAATCTGGGGCCTGAACAGCAATCTGATTAAGCGGGGGCCAAGTGGGTCTAGCCGGCGATTCGGTGCGAGCGGCAGTGACTCTGCGAGTGAGGAAGCGACGCCCGGAAGCAATCGGAGCGGAGGCGCCCGAGGAGCACTCTGCAGCGCCCAGGCGCTGTTTGAGCCAGCGCCGCATTCCACTTCGCCTTACACCCTTGACGGCCCACGCAGCTGCTGCAGCTGCGACTGGGTTGTAACTCGTGAAATATGTGCTAGTTGGGGTCACTCTCGATTACTGCAATTTTACTGTGTGACGCGTTAACTATAGTAGGTGAATTCACACTTATTACAACTTTTATTGCATTTGCATTCACTCTCTGAAAGTTTCTATATGCCTTTCTTTCAGTCTTAGTATCGTTTTGTTGGTTGGTACCTGGTTGATACTTCTATAACTAAATATAAAATTAATATATATATATTATTATATATATATATATCATATATATATATATATGAAAGTGCGGATCGCTGATGTACATGCCAATAAACGACAACCTTCTGTATTGTCCGTAAGTTTAGGGGTAACAATGCCAATCAAGAGCTCTAAGAAAAATGTGTCATCAGTTTAGTTTTTCGTTTGTTCGTTTTCAATGTGTTTTGAATTGAGCTTTTCGTAGTTTAATTTGTAGGACTCCTGCTTAAGATGAGATGAGTGCTCCCATAAATCTATGAATGCAAGAAAGAAAATAAAGTTCTTTCGTCTGACCACATCAACTATTCTCCACCTTAATTTATGATTAAGTGATTTATATACTTGAATTAAAATAAAATGAAATTCAGTAAGGCTGTCTAAAAAATATCGTATGACACACTAGTGCCCACTTTTACTACACGTATGTTAACTATTAATTGATACCTAAGTGTCAACGTATGGTGGTGTTGGTAAGTCAAGAACTGTCACAAAAGGACAATGACCGTCTGCAAAATCAACAGATTAAAAACAATACACAATTTCAACACTCGTGCATGGAAATGAGTATTCAAATACATTGTGTTTTCATTGGAATTTGTTAAATTGCGGTGGGGACGGACAGTGTGTCGCGGTATAAACATTGCCGTAGTCTTAGGCGTACCATAAAGAAGTTATGACGCCATAAAACAACGCAGTGTGTAGAATACGGGAAAAACTAAGACAATATGATTTCAACATGACTGACGTCTTAATTGATGAAGATACTACACTGTAAAAACTTGGCACCGTCTTAAATGATGCAAATGTTACACAAGTATATACACATTGTGTACGTACACACTAAACACATTTGAGTATTTTCATGAATTCATATTACAAATATTGTACTAAGCTGGTATGAAAATATCTTGCATTCATTTTAATATGTAATACTCTGTTCCTATCATTGCCTTTTCCCTGAACATTTCATTATTGTATATTGTCATCCTTGCTAAAGACTCACTAACATTAATATTTTATCTGTATCTTTAATAGTAAAAATTGCTTTAATATTTTTATCTGTAGTGCCAGAACAAAAACGCTGTATCAAACCTCAGTTGCAGAGATTTACTGCTTGTTGTAATTTGCTGCAAATCTTTCGTATTTTTACAAACTTTTGTGAACGTGGAGGGGAACATTTTCACTTGATAAAACTCTAATATTGTTCGGTAAAAGAATGTAATGACCTCTCGCCTTAAGAGATGAAGTTTGAGAAAAGGATATTGTCGAGAAAGGATATTGTTCACAGCACGGTAACTAAGAATTACAACTTATCGAACACAGTTCCTAGAAAACATTTCAAAAGCAAGAGCAATGCGACGATTCTTGAAAACTAAAATAGGAATAAGCGTTTCTTTTCCCCCTAAACATCTAGAACTGCAACACGTGACAGTAGTGACACTACTGTCTCACCTGACAGTTAAGGGTATTGCATGTTATACTGCAAAAGTATTGTAATGCTCGAGCGGAAAGTAGCGGTTTTGTTAGAAAAACGAGAATTTCGGACAATGATATCGAAAAGTGTATATATAGAGATGCTGTACATAGTAAATTACATCCTCTAATACGTTGAGTCGTCATACATGTCTATTACTTCTTTCTTATAGATAAATGGGTTTACGACGTCTGTCTATCCGCCATATTTGGCCTTTTTCTGGGCTGTCACATATATTTTTTTCTTATTTAAATCTGTTTTGAAATACATTTTAAAATAAAATCATATATAATTGATTAGAAATATGAGCTGTTTGCGGGTAATTTTGGTTTTAAGAACGCATTTTTTTAAAACATTCTCTAAGAGGCTCCTTTTTTCAATTTTTTCCGAAGAGAGCAAAGAACGCTTATACAATGGCTCTGGTTTCGTTGAGCTCTGAATTTTCGAAAACTGAAAAGTTACAAATAATGAAAGAAAGTACCTGATGTTGTATCATTAATAGATAAATTTTTGATGTAATATTATAAAACATTATCCTGCCTGCTGTTTTCTGCCAACCATCTGAAAAAAATTGTTTTCTCACAGATGGAAAGCTTTTGGATATTTTTTTCAATAAAATGTACTACATTTAGTGGACTCTTTGTTAGGTCCGTCATTTTTTATCAGTTTGTAAATTATTCCGACAACTTCTTTTAGTTCTATGTTATTAATGATCTCATGGAGAATTTTTCCTTTTTTTATAGAAAGCACTTTCTAAATATTGGATAATAAAAACCTCTCTCTTTTTTCTCTAAATGTGGGACAAACATATAATTTTGTGAAGCAGATTACAGAACTTTCAGAAAGATAAGTAAATATTTTCTCGGAATATAAAAAAAATGAGGCAAAAATTGAAATGAAACGGCGAACATTGTAAGGTTTCTCTAAAATTCCGAAAAATATTCCGGGTAAAATATATTTTGCGAGTTAGTATCATACCCCATAACTACACAAAGAGAAACGAAAAATCTCAGGGAATAAAATGAGAATTATGCAAATTGACACGCAAAGGATACAGCGTTCAAGAGACGTTTATTGGCCCGCGTCAACGTCGGACAAGAACGGTAAATGAAGTAAACAAGGAGAGAAGGAGCAGAGCGCCAGAGAATTCATTAAATCAAGGAACCCGAGCCCCTCATCAGAGGAGACGCTGGGACCTGAGGGGAATCCCCGCCCGTAAACCGACTCCAAGTGTATCTCCGCGAGAGGGCAGACGCGGCAGCGGCGGGGCGCAAGGGGAA